GCACTTTTGATGCATTGCAGCCAAAGCTTACTGCCCGCACGCCTTCATTTAAGCATCGGGGTCTCGCAAATACTTTTTCTATTTATATTTGCACATTCATTTTGCATGACTGGGCAGCTGTAAAATTTGCAATAGTTTCAAAATTTCTCGAATCGTTCATTAATCGTAGTACGTCTTAAAATTGATTTAAAAATAACAGCAACGAGACGAGACAAGGCAGTCTGTTATTAATTAAATAATTTAAGTGATAAATGAAATACGGGTTTGGAAAGGGCATTAAATTGTAGGCACACAAATATTTTATATACAACAACAATTTATATTACTTGTATATATTTAGCATGATAATGTGAAGCCGCGAAGTTGTTGATTTGTGATTTCTTCTGGGAACTAATCATTTTCGCTTGACTAGCACCCCTTGCCTTGAGAACTTTGCCGGGAAATGTAAACAAATTTGTGATTTATTTAACTTCCTTAACTTATGTGATGCTCTAATTTTTAAATTATCATTTCCTTCCGAAATAGGAAATAGTGACAAAAGATGATATGTGTTAATTTATTTGAAGTCCCATAAATTGCCAGAACATCGTTTAAGCGAAGGCAAGTTTGTTTCTGTTGAAGAATACATCTTTTTCTTTAGTCATCAGATTGGACAGATCCCATCGTTCCACACACAGCCCCAATTATAAATATAGCAAATTTTCTTGTACTGACTTGCCTTTAACCTTTATAGATCCTTTTATATATCTGAGAAATCTATTCCAATTCACTGTAATCGGACAGTACACTGCAGGCCTTCACGTTCCCAAACGAAATCATTTTTAGGCTCACTTTCAATCGATTTTACATTATTTTTAAATACTTCAAATACTACCAATAGATCTGGAAAGATATTTTTAAAATAGATTTACAAAATATTTTATAACTTTCTTCAGAATATTCCATTTTATTCACTAGCTTGTAATCTTGCCAAGCCGGTTATGATCTTTACATTGTGATTACAAGTTTCAAAATGAATTTCAAGCTACAATTGTCATAAGTTATAGCTGAAAATAAACTGTACTCAGTACTTCTTAGAACCCTGAACTGAAGTTCCTATTCACTCTAATGACTTTAGTTTACCAAAATATCTTAATAGCACTTTCTTCAAACCATATCGCGTGCTTTCTAGGAAAATAACTACCTTGAAGCTCATTTCTTTCTGTTCAATTCAAATACAAGTTACTTTAATTTAAAAATGGAAAATGTTTCAGAAAATCAAACTTCTAAACAATAGACTCGCCATACTAATCACAATACTACTATATAATACGACTTTTTCAACTTTTTTTCTATCCACTTCTCCTGAGTGGTCTCATGAGAGCAGGTCCTGCAGGTTTTGTAAGGCTTTACAGTATTTGACATTCATTAACACCTTCATTTTTCGCCTGCAATAGCACAGCTGTCGGCATAGAACAAGCAAATAACATTCATAAAACGTATGTTTAATCGAAAATATACAACGCGGCCGGTTCTCAACAGTAGAACAAAATAAATATTGGTTTGCGTAATTGTCAAATGCGAGGGTGTTCAGCAACAAAGCGCAATAAAGCATCTCTAAAAAAAGCAAACGCTTGAATGATGCAATTCTGTGATGTTTTTAGTTGCGATATGAACGAAGTCGACTCTTTAAAAACAACTAGTCTGAACAATTAGCACCGAAACAGTTTGGTAATGCTTTTGCGTCAGTTGCGGTCAACAAGTGGCTTTTAATTCAAGTTCTTTAAACTCTTATGAGGTTGACCAGGTTGACGGCAGACAAACGTCCAAAAATAGCTCGAAGCTCGACATGCCATAATTGAAGCCTCAAATAACGCTAATGACCCTCCTCAAGGTCACTGCTACAAAGCAGTAGCGTAAATAAACATTAACAAGAAAGGAATGCTAAAGTCGAGCAGGCTCAACTCTTAAATACCCTGTACCACCCCACAAAAAAGTAATTAAATTAATTAATTAATTAAATTTAATTAATTAACTAAATTAATTTAATTAATTAACTAAATTAAATATAAAATATTCCATGCATGCATACATACATTTACAATTACATCAGAATCGTGTCTATGCGTGTTTGTGTACTTGTACATATGTATGTATGTGTGCATTGGGCCTGGTTATATGGCTATAACTTTCTTTCCGATCATTCTATCATAATGAGACTTGGTATACGGTTATATAATAACTAACCTAATGTGACTACCAAATTTTAGTTCAAAATTCCAAGAATTACGGAAGTTATAGAAAATCGTTAATAGGGGGGGAGTGGGGGGGTGGATCAGAAAAAATGAACAAACTCGTCCTTTCTCGGTCTCAGGAGAATCTGTATACCAAGTTTGGTTATTCTAGCTCTTATACTTTCGGAGATCCTTGCGTTCATACAGACAGACAGACGGACAGACGGACAGACAGACGGACAGACAGACGGACAGACGGACAGACGGACAGACGGACATGGCTATATCGACTCGGCTTGTCATGCTGATCAAGAATATATATACTTTGTGGGGTCTACCAAGCCTCCTTCTGTGTGTTCCATGTGCACTCGCACAAAACTAATATACCCTTGTACCCTTTTGGGTACAGGGTATAAAAAGCCTCACACTACAAACAAAACAACACTGCACTACATGATTCACAGGCTGCCGTGTATGAAATAAAAGTACAATGCTCAACATACGAGTACACACATACATACATACATAATAAGTATGTACAAATGAACACATAAACACAAATCAAGTTCATCTTTAGGTGCCATAATCACAACCTACCTACCGTTCCGGCCTAACTTTCCACACCCTCTCCACAATGTCGAGTGTATGGCTCTGCAATTTGTTTTATGCCCATAAATCTCTAAATGTCTGAAACAGCAACTCTCATAAAACATCGAAGACGTGAGCAGCCGCACATAAAAAACTGGGCAATAAAATATCTCTTCAAAACTCTCAAAATAACAACTGCCTTTAAACTAAATAACAATAACAATGCTGCGGCAAAAACAAAAGGTAAAACATTTTGGGAAATTACACACATTGCGAGCGTATTTACGAGTGTGATTACAAATCTGGCAAAAGCTGTAACCGAGAGCCCCAGTCGAGTGCCAAGCCATCCGTTACGCACTCTTGTTCACGCACACACCTTATAGGTACCATACAAGTATATTCATGTTTAGGTCGGAGTAGCAGCGTATTGTATGTGTGTGTGTATGTGTGTGTGTATGTGTGTGTGTATGTGTGTGGAGCAGCAAGCCATAATCAAAGAGCCAAAAATCACTGAATGGCACTTCAAAGCATTATTATATTGAGTTTGAAGACGGCATGAGGCGGCAGCAGTGCTCGAGCCAGAGGTTGGGGTTAATTGAATGATCTTCAAGTAATTGAGGTACAATTTAATGGATATTGAATAGAAATAAGCCGACAGACGGAGTGCGTTGTGGGTAATGTCCAAAATGTCAAAAAAAAAATAAAAACGCTAAGCACTCGACTAATTTGACGGCGCAAAAGGGTGAAAATGCACATAGATTTTGAAAAATTCGAATACGAAGAGTGGTTCTAGCCTCAATTTGTCTTTGCATTCTAACAGATAAATGGCAGATAAATATATATATATAAGAAGAACTTATATAATCAAATTACTTTTATAAAAGAAATATACCATACATTATAAAAATCAAGTTCAAGAAAATTATTGTCTACTATCACACCTAGGCTTCAAATTATTTCTATGTACTAATTTTAATTCCAAGGTTTTCAACCCTCTATTAATTTATTTATGCTTTTTAGACACTTACATAGGTAATGGATTTTAATTTTGTAAAACAAAAATCTTGTTTTTCTAGGTGGATCGTACACAGATTCTTTCATTCTTTTTATTACCAATTCAATGGCCAATTTACTTATTTAGATTTCTTAAATATATTTACTAATAAACAAAAATGCTCATTTGGAATTCTAGTGAGGTCTAGAAGTTTTCAAAATTTTATGATGTTGTTGAAATCGGTTTCACTTTAAATCGCAAACGCCTGGGAGTTGTTCTGCAGAAATTCATATTCTTTGTAATCAATAATCCAAACAGTATTTTGGGGAGAAATTTAAAAGAGTCTATCAGGTAATTATTTTACTACATCTGTTTCTATTTTCTGTTCAACTCTAAATTATCTTTTTAGTCCATATAGTGGCTTTTGGATGCCTCGGCTAGCTTTGCAATTACTCTGCCTGTTAACCCAGTTTTCCAAAACTTCCATCTCCTGCTGTAATCAATGAACGTCCAAGCCCACTACCAATATCAAAATTACATATGATGTAGGCTATATGGACCACCCTATATCTCAAAAACAGTCGAAATATATGATGCATGTGCTGTTCTTCAACTTCTATACCAAATGCTTCGTTTTAAGTTAGTATTCCACAATGTAGTAGTACGATTTCCGTCCTATTATCTCCTTCTCTTTTTCTCAAAGATATAGGATAGCATATTTTTTTCAAAGCTATGGAGAGAGAGAGATTTAAATGCCTTTCAAATAATTATTTCATATCCTAGTACAATTTATTTCTGGTTCCCTTTCTATCGCTCTTATCTATTTTTATTTCGGAACCTCCTTCATTGCCTCTTCTGTTTTACTCCAAGATGTGCATTGCATATTTTGAACAAATTAACAAAATAACTGATTCGTATGCTCTTCTTCAGATATTCAAGTTTACTTCAACATCCATATAATGATCAATTTTGAATGAGTGGCCGCACGCTAGCCACGATGTTGGCGACGGTCTTTAAACCATTTGATTGGGGGTGCTGACACGATTCAATGACGAGCTTTAGTCGAGACTTAGACTTAAATGCCTGTTTTTGTTATTGTGATTGAGAGAATTACAAGTATAAGAAAAATTCCATTTTATTATTTTCATAAATCTAGTTTTTATTTAAATATTGTAGATGTAATGATAATTATTGGTTTTGTTTGCGCTTTTTGTTTACTAACATTAAAAATACTTTACACAATATTAATATATGTAGCATTTAAATAGATAGAAAAATTAAATGAAATGTATATAGTGTTTCGAATTTCGATTTATCCTACATATTTATTTGTAGCTATCGATTTAGTTAGAATTGGAACAAGTGGCTTAGACAATTTATATGTTTTGGTTTAGCTTTGATTCGTTACAGAAGCTTATATGCTTATATGATTTTTATTTATCTAAATGTTTATAATATGTTTGTATACCAATAGTAAGATATAAAATTTCAATTATTTTTGGAATTAATATAATTACGTATAGCGGCTTGCCAAGCTATTTCCCAAATTGCTTTGCATTTCCATGAATTATTAAAGTTCTGATAAAAATGTTTGCTTTTTCCCCTCATTGGTTTAAATATTTTTATTGTATAAGCCGAAAGCGTCGTAGTTTAATATGATTTCGCCTGATTGTTGATTCAGTAGATAAGCATTGTTTGATGTAAAATGTTAAACATAAACATTAAATACATAGCTAAATTCTTACTACTTGTACATATCTGTCTAGCGTTTTTCTCAACAGAAAACAAGCAGTATCCTTTTCAATCGTAAAGAGTTGAAAAACGTTGCTAAATCTGTTTTTCATTTATATAAGTATTTTAAAAATGTTAATATGTATGCAATGTATAATAAAAATATGTTAAACTTTTAATTTAATAGAAAATCAGTACAATTTTTTGCTCAAAACATAGACGACCGCTTACACTATGCAGACATTTAATCAAAACTTTTTTCTGAATATGCTTTGGAACGCGTGTAAAAACGGCAAGTGAAACAAATTAGTGCTGTTTAGTTCGATCGGTGGGACCCAGTGGTAGTAACGTGTAAATAATGGACAATTTCATACAACAAATAGAAAACATTTTCAAAATGCATCAAATAAATATTAATGTTAAGCTAAAAATCTGTGGTTTGTTACGTGCCTGGGGACCAAACTCGCTACCGAAATAAATACTGCGAGTAATGTCTCAGCGTATGAAATGAGTTGCATAGTGTAAGTGCCATTTTGTTGCATAATTTTGGCCGCATTAAATAAGAGTTTGGTAGCACTAGAGGGCATCAGCCTAAAAGTATGCAAAAGCTTCCTTGTCGTTTTGTGCTTTTGGCAGCAACAGCAGCCAGCAACATGTTGCCGTTGAATGCTCAATGGCGCAGCAACATGTTGCTCACCTTGCTGGCCGTCTCCGTTTTGGCTGTGATTTTCTCGCGGAAATGACGATTCTCGGGATTGGCTAGCACCGATGCTATAAACACCGATGTCTCCAGCTGCAGTTGCGCCAAACGCTTCTGCAACAATTTGTTACGCTGCACCAGTTTAATGGTCTTGATTGCAATTGAGAGCAGACCCTGGTTGTGCGACTGATAATGCTCAACAGATTTGCCAGCATAATCATAGCCACTATCATCATCGTCTCCGCCATTCACATCACAGTTCTTGGCTGTTTGTTTGTTATTAAATATGTTGCTGTTGTTGCTGTAGTTGCTGTTGTTGCTGTTGTTGCTGTTGTTGCTGTTGTTATTGTTGTTGGTGTAGTTGTTGGCCATTGTCGGCTGTAATACTGTTTTTGTAAGCAAACGATTTTCGCTGCTGGAATGTATGGGCACCAAAGCGAGCGAGCTAGAGCTCCTGCCGACTTCTTCAACACTATCCGTTTGCTCTCGTTCTCGCTCCCGCTCCCGGTCCTGCTCCTGCTCCTGCTCATCATCGATTTCCATACGCGGATATTTAGCCTCTTTGTTATGTATTAGCCCTGTGGCCGCCGCCGACGTTGTCGTCGCTGATGCCTGCAATTCTTCTCGCTCTTCCTCCTCCACATGCGACGACGAGGACATGGCATTGTCTGAGATTTGTGGCAGTCTGCGTTGCAGTCTTTCACTGCGCCTCTGGTCATGCAAACGTTGTTTCGCTCTAGTCGAGTTCATTGAACCTTTCGCAACTGCAAAATAGAAAGAAAAGCTACTGTTAGTCAAGTGCTTTGTGGCAAAGCTGTGTATGAATATAAGTACATATGTATGTACACACACCTATTCACACACCTGAACAAAGGTGTGTAATGACTGATTGTAGCTCCGCTAAATAAAAATGTCAAGCGTTTCCCATTGCTAATCAGCAACAACTACGACCAAAGCTAAATCGCCCCTACCTACACACATAATGTGCTCTATACACAGCTATATAGTATGTAGATGTGTGAGTATCGCGTGTGTGGAGAAAACGTGACCACACCGGGGCTAGCAACCACCATAACAACAATTTCTACTACACAACCATTTCAAGCGCCATCGCCATCGTCGCATTCGATGACGACGTTGATGCGTTTCGCATCAATTTCGCGGCCGTGGTTCACACTGCCTCACAATCATAACGCTCCCTTCTGCTCTGTACCTGTACTTACGTAAATTGTTGCTATACTAGGTGTATGTTTATGTTTCGTATTTATTTACAGCAGCTGCTCAGCTGAATGCGCTCCAATCAAGGCAACAAACACAAGTGCTGGTTGAAAGAGACGACTTGACTTGCTTACTTACTTATAAGTATGGCGAACACCCCCCTCTGAAATCATTTTCCAATTGGCACTTCCGTGACTGTGTCTATGGTCAGGGTCATGCGAACCGATTGGCAACGCCGCCAACGCGACGTCGTCACCACTGCCTAACGCCCCACCATTGGGGCTGACTATCAAAACTACACCTTGAAGCACATGATTTGCCCCGTTTTCTCATTCGTATTGTGTTTGTGATGTAGAGGAAGCGATTCATTTTTTGATACGCTGCACAATGCAAAAAACGTGCGGCCACATTTCCCTCACACATTTATAATTACGTGCGAGTAAGTGTACGAGTACATAGTATTTATACATTTGTGCGCCTATAATCGTATCAATTTACATAATGCACACAAGCTTATATTGAAAAGAGTGTCAGCAACTGCATTGACCCTTTGAAATCTTACTACACATACCTATATGTATGTAATTAGACTCAACAGAAACAAAGCCTTTACTTCAACACATAGTTGTGGGGCAAGAACAAATTTATGTCTATAAATAAGGAGGAACCTAGTATAATCGCCATTACAACTACTATTACTCGTTGCTATAAAGAATATTGAATGTTAAACATAATATTTCAAGTTGAATTTTATATACATACATACATTATACATTATATATGATGCCTCTCTCAAAACCAACAAAAGATACACTTAATCAAGAAATAATCATGTTTACATATTAATATTAGATTTTAACTATAAATAATCATGGAGCTGTACAAATATATTTTCCAAACATATATATTTTTACTGTATTTGTATATGTATGTGAGCACCCATATTTTATAAGCATCGGTGGTTCAGTGGTAGAATGCTCGCCTGCCACGCGGGCGGCCCGGGTTCGATTCCCGGCCGATGCAAAACAACTTTTTTTTTCTCAAACTTATAACAAGAAATTACAATAATAAATTATTAACATTTATGTTAAAGTTGTTGTGGAAGAAGCAGAACGATACCAAGGCGAACGAGACATACCCAACTCGCTAAGAGCGTTCTACAGCTGGGAGCGCAGAACTTGGAGCCCATTCCAAGATCCATGTGAACTATGTCTAATGTTAGAAATAAAAAACTTACTTAATTCTACCTAAAACTGCAAAAAAAAATGAATCTAAACAACCGGTCTACTCACAGGGCATTGCTTGAAAGCCGATAAGCAAACGTGACTTGCATAAGTTCATAATAACACACTTAATAACCGTAATTATTAGGGGCTATTAGAGAATCTTTTAATATTTGACTAAAGAGAAAACCCCAAACTTTGCACAGTTACTGAAGTTAATCGGATGAAAAATTTAGTTTTTCCATAAAAACATTGAACCTCGTTTTCCCCCTTTGGACGTAGAATTTTCCGTAACTCTTGCCGTTTCAGCTGATCGTTGATCGCTAATCAGCCGGGCCAACTGTTTAATATATAGTACATGGGGATACGTAAGAATTCAATAGATCACTTATTGTATTGATTTGATCTAGAAATAGATTGGTTGACAGATTTATATACAGTTTATATTTTTCTTGGTTCATTGAAAAGCTCAAATGATCAAAATAGATAAGAACTGAATTACTCCTTGTATCGCTTTTCTTAATAAACAGATTGGTCCGGCTTCGAATTGTCTTGGTTTAACGAGACATGTTGACTATATGCGGAATATAGCAGACCCAGCAGCTTATCGTTAAATGTCGTATCTGTGTTGCTATTTTGCTGAGGGTTCTAAAGGTCAACTGTAACTCCAAATCCAACCTCTCGTTGTACTCTACTTGTATAATTTGGGTCGATTGCAAATCGACTTATTATTGCGACAATGCCCCAATTCGCTGAACGGTGTTACATTTCCGCTCCCATGCTAACAGACCCAAACACGTTCACACAAACATGCACAGATCCATACACATACATACATAAGCACTCGTATATGTACATATGTATAAATACAAGTAGATGGGTAGGTAAGCTCAAGAACCATTTACTTCCTACATTGGCGAATGCCCGTGCTTTTTATTTACGGCTCACTCTTTGCTTATGCAAGTTGCAGGCACATGCACTTGACTGCAAAACGAGAACATGCAACGTTGGCATTGTATTTTGTTTTTTTTTCTTTTGTTGTTGTTGTTATTGGTGTTGCTGCTGCTGCTGTTGTTTATTCTTTTGTTGTTTATGTTGTTATGCTTATTTCGCGCACATTGCCTTGCCGGTTGGCCTCGTCAACGTCAACGTCACCGTCACCGCTACGTGAGCCCACGTGCCCCTCAACACTCGCATCAAATAAGTCTCTAGTTATGCTTAATTAAAGCAAACGACGACAGCGACAACTGCGACACAGTGGCGCAATTTGCTTTTTACGCTTTTACAAAAAAAAAACCGTTCCAAAGCCCTACTTTAATGTAAATATTTTACGATTTTTGAGAACAATAAGTAAACTGTTGAATTCGTACTCTTTATCTGAACATAAGCCATTACGATTCAGCCGATGAAAGGAAAATAACAATCAGTTCATTTATTATCTAAAAACAACAAGAAAGGAATGCTAAAGTCGAGCAGGCTCAACTCTTAAATACCCTGTAACACCCCACAAAAAAGTAAATTAATTAACTAAATTAATTTAATTAATTAACTAAATTAAATATAAAATATTCCATGCATGCATACATACATTTACATTTACATCAGAATCGTGTTATTGCGTGTTTGTGTACTTGTACATATGTATGTAGTATGTGTGCATTGGGCCTGGTTATATGGCTATAACTTTCTTTCTGATCAACCTATCATAATGAAACTTGGTATACGGATATATAATTACTAACTGGATGTGTTTACCAAATTTTAGTTTAAAATTCCAAGAATTACGGGAGTTATAGAAAATCGTTAATAGGGGGGGAGTGGGGGGGGGGGGGTGGATCAGAAAAAATGAACAAACTCGTCCTTTCTCGATCTCAGGAGAATCTGTATACCAAGTTTGGTTATTCTAGCTCTTATACTTTCGGAGATCCTTGCGTTCATACATACAGACAGACGGACAGACAGACGGACATGGCTATATCGACTCGGCTTGTCATGCTGATCAAGAATATATATACTTTGTGGGGTCTACCAAACCTCCTTCTGTGTGTTCCATGTGCACTCGCACAAAACTAATATACCCTTGTACCCTTTGGGTACAGGGTATAAAAACTCGCATACACTATAATACTTTACGGCACGTTTTTAGTAATTTTTGTTTGTTTACAAAAGGTAATTGTTTACAAAAGGACAACTGAAATTGGTTTTATCTAGACGACAAAAATAAAAGTAATATCCCTCCCGACATGAAGGGTTCTCTGGGCTGTCATGCGCAACCAAGTACGAGCAAGCGCTGGCAATGTAAATATCTGTATCTTCAAATTAGCCCGACCTGACATTAACTGAACATAAAGAGAACTAAAAATAATCGAAATATCCACCTCTGTCGACAGACTTCGCATTCCAAAAAATGTTTTCTGAAGGAGCTGTGGAAATGAGGATGGCATTTTCTAATACTTAGCAGCCTCAGGCTCGGCTCAGGCTCTGCTCTAAATTGTTTCACAGATATATGGAAAGATTGTGGAAAGATCATCTAAGGTATTATAGGACATCACTCCAACCATCTTAGCCTAACCCAAGCGAATCATCCGACAGGCACAAACAAAAACAAAATAAATCAATAATACAACAATAATATACACACGTACAACAATATGGTTCACAAGGCAATTATTTTTGTGGTAAAATGTATTCCCCCTTTTAAAAAAACGGCCACTGGCAACGAAAATATTTATCGAATTATGAAAAAATAAACAAGTGGATAAGCTTAAGTCGTGTGCCCCGACTAAAAAGTACTCTGCACTTACATATGTGTAAAATAATTTTATAAATTTAAAAAAATAAATAAATAATATTCTTTCTTTGGGTATTCAACACGGTATTGTGTATACTACACATATGTCTGCGTGTCTTAATTAGTTTATATAAAACAATAAATTTGACTTTTAAACCTACCTAAACAAAAATGATCAATACGCAATGAAAACTGGATTTAAATCAATTAATAATGTCAAAAAATACCTTTCATGCATAACATCTGGAAGTTCATGAATGACAAAAAAATTAATCGGAAAATTATAATTAAAATAAATCAGACAAATTTGTTAAATCGGAGATGGATTTCATCGGTACGGATCCAATTTTAAGAAAGACAAGACTTCCACCTTTTGGAGAATCTACTTAAAATCAGCAGCTCTTAAGCGTACAAAATTGGAAAGTACTCGTAAATTTCCTAATACTTGCACTATGATATAAGGATCTTCTAATGTTATTTTCTTTTATCAACTATTAAGATAATGATTCATCTGTTTTAAAAATTAATTTAT